TTAATTATATAATTATAATAATAATTAATATATAATAATATAATATATATATATAATTAAACTTAATCATAGTAGGGCTTTTAAAAAAAGTATTATCTCACAAGAGCTCAAAGCATTTTATAGTCAAAGTCTTGATAACATGTTCCTATAAATATTATGTTAGTTTAAGACTTTGGGGAATGTGCAAAATATTCCATGGCCAGATTGTCACCTGCATGAAACAGGCAGTTTGGGGCAGTCTTGCCTAGACCGTAACATGCATGTTTCATCTGGACTGAGATCCAGGACATACATGTTCTGGGCATAGGTGTTCCAAGGTGGGGAGAGTAAGAAAAAAAGAGAAAGTCATTGATGGAGGAAGTATGTGGTGGCTAAAGGAAGCTAAGAGGAAGGAAGATGCAGGAAGATTGGGGGAAGAGCAGGGACCCAACAATGTGGAGAAAGTGACCCTGCCCAGAATGTTCCAGCCAAACTTCCAAGCCACAGTGTGATATATTGTAGTGCTAGCATAGAACAAAACACATTATTTTGCGCATACCCCTAAAGAGTTTGTGGGAATGATCAGTGGGGTATTTATCTTGTTACTTTTTAAATGCATGTCATGATTGTTTTATGTTTTAATTACCTTGATATTTTGACTATTATATGTATAACATTTTTAATGCTCCTAAACAAATGCATGTGGACTTAATTTTTGTGGCTGTGATGTTTTGTGTTATGATAAGGGCACTGGAGAGCATCTCAGACTTTTCATAAAACCATTATAGAATGTAAACATGTTCTGTATTAAGATTAAGAATATGAAGAATGCCATGTTTTCTCAGGGAGTGGGGGGGGGGGGTTAGAAACTCTAATGTCCGAGTGTATTTGATGCATAAAATTGTTCAGAAGCTGACTGACAGATAGCATTATGCAGCTGAAAGGGTATATGTTATAGGAAGTAGAATTCTTACAGTCTGGGAAGCTCTGAATCTACTCCTATTGTTACTGGATTCTCAGTCTTTGTATTGCTGCATTCATTTTGCTAGAAAATTATAGTGTTTCTAGGTTGCTATACAATTAGTTCTTTACTTTCCCCCCATTTTTAAACAAAGGAAGACTGTATTGCTTCCAAGGATTATGGTGCTTTTGTCCATCATTTGGTTTGCTATATTTCTTTTCCTTAAATCAATTCCAGCTCTGTTAGCATGGAACGATCCTTTCAATATACAGTATTTGCTGTAATAATATTCTCATTGGGTTTAATCACAATAGTGTTTAAAATATCTTTTCATTAGGAAATTAGATCTTAATATTCTCCAGAAAATTATTGATTGGAGTGGGCAATTTGATTGTCTTCAGACATTTTGGACTACAGATTCCATATGTTCTAGTTAGCTACCATCACAAGAGTCACTTGGACTAAGATGGACAGCTATAGAAATTGCATAAATGAATGAATGAATGAACGAATGTTGCTGGAAACTGCTTATTCTTCAGCAGCAGATTATTGCCACTGCTGAGTTCCTAGCCAATGTATTAATGGAAAGCTAAGATATCCCAACATTTCACAGCTACCTACTGTGGAGTTGTGCCTATGCCATTAGTGCGTAGACTATGTAAATCCTCCAGTTTGGTTGTGTGTGTGTAAGGAAGATGCTTCAATCATATGACTAAATTTCTTATTTGCTCCAAATTTTAATAGTAAAGTCAGTTCTGCTGAGTAAAATGAGATTATTTTTTTTTTAATTTGAGATTGGGAGAATGTAAAATGAAAGCACAAAGGAGTAGGGATAAGAAGTGTGGGCTTTGCAAGGGAATAGGAAGAGATAAATGATTCATGAAATAGAAAGAGTAAGCAATAAATGAGTAGAATTGTTGAGCAATTTTACTCGTGAACAGGGATTTTGTAAGTGTTTTGGATAAAGGATAAAGTATTGTGAGTTTGCTGAATACATGCAGAATGACCATTGTAAATATGCATTGTCATGTGATGCTCTTGTATAACTATACCCTTCACCCATGCTTATGGACATTCGGGTATACTACTAATTTATTTTTGAGGATTTGTAGGCTGTTTCAGTTGCACAACTCTAAGTAGCATACAGCAGTCTCCTTAAACAATATATATTGCTTAAAACTGAAGGTTGGCTGTGGAAACCACAGCTCCTTCTATCAACTTCTGAACTCTCAGATTCTCCAGCTATTCAGACTGTCTGATAGTTTTTCTATCCAGACATATTTAAGTCTGTTCTCCGTATTCTGAAAATACCTGCATTCAGTGGTATTTATAGCATCATCTATTTATATGTGTACTGACATGTAACTTATTCAGTGTGAATTTATAAGTCAGACTGTTCTGTATATTGGTGCCAGATTTACTCAGTATGTCTTTTCAATGACCTTTGATTCTGCTGACATTGCTAGGATTCTATGACTATTTTGCATAATCTTTGATTTTGCACAATATAATTTGCTTGCATGCAGACTGGTTCCTTCATTTATTTTAATTGTTGTAATCTGCAATTTATTCCAGTTCACTATAATTTGTTAATTAAAATTTATATCTTGAAGAGGAACAAGTATGTTGTTGTATTCAAAATTTCTTTCTGAACTGGCTAGTCTTCACTGAATCTACATAGAATTGAATATTTGGGAACATGGGTGATGTGTAAAGTGCTTAACTTTTTCTTCAAAGGTAGTTAAGGGTTTTTTAAGGTATATTTAGACACTTAAAATATAAACATGCATTAAGCATGTCTATTTTAGTTTCAAATTAGATGTGGCAGAAGCTGCAGTGTTGTTCATATCAAGTGTAGTGCAAATTGTAACTATAGCTTGAAAAGAAGCACATTGGCAAGGGGTGATGACTTTTCCTTCCTTCCCACCTGGCACATTAGAGACTGCCTTCATCAATGCTTGAGGTGTTGTACTACCCCAGGGTGTCTGAATTCAGATGAAGACAAAAATGAAACTTGGCCACTGGATTATAAGAAAGCTGGAGATGGTAATGGATTCAGGGTTTCCTATCCCAGTGTTAAATTCTCCCCCATTCCCTCTTTTTAGTTAAAGAGGTTGTGCGAATAATAGATTTTCCCTAGGGGTTTTTCATATGTTTAACATCGATTGAGAGAATTTCTTGATTTCATCTATGAAATGTGTATCCTTCACCAGCAATAATATTGCAGCAATTTACATAAGCTGATATTTTTCTTACAGGCGATGAGCTGTTCCCTTATGCCTTTTAACAGTTTTGGTGGCATGGTTAGTATACAAAAATAACACAAATTTAATCTGAGCATGCCTTTTCCCCCCTTGAATTTTAATTTCTAAACCATACTAGTGCAACAATCTTAAATGAACTGGTGCTTCTCTTTCAGGGATCAAGTTTTCCATTTATACCTTTTGGCACTTTTGGTGGCATGGTCAGTATACTAAAGACAAAGGATACTAAGAGTTGGTGATATGGGCATTCGTATTCTTGTTACTTTTCATTTCAGTTTTTTGTCTTTTTGTCCACAAACAAAGCCTTAAAACATTTAGCATATTTTCCTGCTTGCATATTTTCTTCTCTTTGCTGGATGAACTTTAAAAAAAAAATGTTGTCTATATTGTTATCAAAAATGGGATTTGTACAGTTCCAGTTGTAGTATTTTTTGCACTTTTTCCCAAGGGACCTTAAGACAGGATCATGGAGTACATTGGGATTGTGAAGTAGTGAACATAGTTTAAACTTAGTTTATGCTAAAATCTGCAGGTGGAAATTTATGAATGTTTGAAGTGAATAAATAATAATAATAATAATAATAATTATTATTATTATTATTATTATTATAGAAAATGTGGACAGGAATGGTAAGGTTTCAGTAAAAAAAAAAAAAAAAGATACAGTGCAAGATGATAGAAATGGGGACTGTGCAAGATTCTTATCCAGCTTAATAATTCACAACTTTTGTTCTTTTAATATGGTGAAGATGTTGGAGGAAAAAATAGGAAATAAATTTGGTGATAGATATTGTGCAGACAAGACTCCTTGCTTACGCTAGCAGTAGCAGATTTCAAGAAAGTTCAGTCCAGATGCTCTCCCATTCAGTCATATTTTAAGACCATAATATTAATGCTGCAATTTATATGATCTAAAATTTCTCTTTTAGGCCATGAGTTTTCCGCTTATGCCTTTTGGCTGTTTTGGTGGCATGGTTAGTATATTAAACACACATATTCATTTTTTTTTTGGGGTGATGTGGACATGTCTGTTTCACTTGTTCTAAAACTAAGCATCTTGCATTTTGCTTTAAAAGTGCATTTTACTATACTTGTTTCATTTTGTGAAACTTGTGGGTTTTTTTTTTTCATTTTGGGAAATTATTGTTAAAGTACTTATTAAGCATATGTGGAGATTGAGACCATGCTAATTTCCAAAGGCATCTCCTTTATTTTCCTTTTATGTATAACAAAATTATCACAGGAACAAAAACTCAACTTAAAATTACTTTCTTTGTATTAATCTATATTATACAGGGGGATCATATATAATATATTATTAATATGTTAATAATATAGTTATTGATATCATTCAGCCATATCTTCCTAAATCATTTCAACGAATGTAAAAGAAACATTATACTAAGCAGGTAGCAGCTAAACTTGAGGTCTGTTACACTGAGGACATGGGCTCTTTGTACATATTTAGGCTCTTTTGTCACGGAAAAAATGTACAATTCAAGCAAGCATATTTGTTGCAGGGAAAATATGCTTTTATTTCTGCTCTTTGAATCAAAGTACAGCCCCAACTGTTTCTGTCCAAGGCCATTATAAAGAATTTGTGAATGATGCTGTACCATGATGGTATTGTGAGAAAGATGGTCGTGCCTCTTTTTGTTGGCCCTGCTCAGTGGCTTTTGGCTTGGAGTTCAATATAGGAGGATTTGTAGTGTTTGAAAAAAGCAGTGAAGACCTGCAAGGCTCTCCTGCATCTCCTGTTACAATATTCTAATGTCTGTTAACATTTATGGCATACACATTACTGTAGTTTATTTCTATGAATACATTGGTCTTTTTTCAGTGAAAAACAGCACATTAGCCTGTTTTTTCCTCCATTACAAAATATCAAAATATTAATGTCTTCTTCCATAATCTATTGTATGTAGTATATATTGGCCTATACTTTTTAATGGAGACGGGGGTAAATCTAGCTAAATATGGCCGGGATATATTTTGAATATCTCCACTGGGCTTTTGCTGCCATCTTTAATTCTTAATTCTGTTTCCAATCAAAATGCTTTGCTTCAGTTTCTATTAGTGTTTTTTCTAGGACAGATCGTTCATATAGAAATGATTATATAGCCTTTACGTAGTATCCTTGGGGACTATGCGTGGATTTACTAGTTGGGAATACAAGAAATATAGCACTTGGACACATCTAACCTTATGAAAGGACTAATGCTTTGTTCAAACTGGATTTTCCCTTGCACTTTACCAGAGTTTCTCAAATTTCAGAGCAGATTTAGGGGAAGGGTCAATGTGTTTTGCCAGCAAAACCATTCTGTTGCTAGAGAAACATAATTAGATAAATCCATCAGTGGACTTCTAAATATTGCTTAACCTTCATAATTGTAGGTGACAATTTAAAACATGAGGACTTTATTACCTAATGAAAGTTGGGAAGTCAGTTATAAATCTGACTTACTATTACTATTTACTATTTTTGTATTTTTACTGTCAGGGAGAAGGGGCTGTAACATTTCTCCCCAGGTACTGGAATAATTTGGCCAATTTAGTGATTGTATACCTTGATTAGGAGTAGGGGAGACCATTTTTGTTTTAGTCACATGTAAAAAAGTGGCATGAGTGCTATAGTCCTGGTTTTTTTTTAATTTCAGCCCTTTGTTAACTTCTCTTCTTTACTGCTTCCTCTCATCCAATTCTGAGAACTCCCAGATTCTGTGACAATCTGGCACTGAGGAAATATATATAGAAAGAGAGATTGAGAGAGAGAGCGCATTGGGTGTTTCAATGAGTTGGATGTTCTTTGGTTTCATTCAGTTTTCTTCATTCTTGCTTTCTTGTTTGTTTTGTTTTGTATGTGGTGCATACATTCACATGCTAAACTTTTCAGTGAGTTTACTGGGATTCCTATAACATTTTGCCTGCTTCTGTAGCATTCCTTGTGGTCTGCAAAGGTGTTAATGCATTGGCTGGAATGTTGGTAACAAATGATAGCAGTGTAAACAGAAGTCATGGTTACTGCGTTCCCATTTTAGAAAATGGAACTGAGTCAACAGTCTGCCATACAAGTCTGTTTGTTGTGCTCTTTCATTAGTCCATATCTTTCAAGTGCAATTTTATTCCTAAATTACAGATTCTAAATCACAGAACAGAATCTGGATTATGGATTCATCAACTGCTAAATTGACCTAGGCCTAGTCTTCAAATAATCCACAGAAAAGCAAACATTTTTGCACCTGATTAACTATAACCTAATGAAGATTTAATGTTGTGCTCTTTATCTGAATAGTAATATGCATAAAACAGCAGTGGCAAGACAGAAACAAGGCTTTGCCATTGTGTTCTAAAATTTTGGCAAGACAGGTTAATATTTCCATTCACCTAATGGTATAAACTGGCCTTTCATATGTTTCGTGGGCTGGTTATGCTTGTGATAATAACTTGCTGCTGTGCTGAAAACTTAACAGTGCCTGGGAAATGAGTTAAAAATTTATACAAGAAATCATATTTTGATTGAAGTTTACTTGAACCTTTCTGCTACCCTTACAGACATGCCTTTCTGTGCCTGATCCAACAATCTTCTGTAGGAACATATTTGACTAAGAGCCAAACTAGATGTGATGTTGGCTGTCCAACAGTTTGGAATTTTACCTACTGACAAAACTTGGAAGTGACACTTTAGAAGACATGGCTTAACCGATTCTGGCAATCTATTCTTACACACTACCTTGTATTAGCTTAGAGAAATTTCCTGCAGTTCATCTTGTGTGGCTACAGTTTGAATTTAGAAGAGTATAATAGAAAAACAGAAGTGTTTCATAAAAGACCAAGCATCACCTGTCATTTTTTACATTTTTATTGCTGTTCTTCATAATTGCTATATCTTTGCCCTATCTTCTGATGTACTGTGCAAAAGTGTAAGCTCCTCTACATGTACATGAATGAACTGTAATAAAAGCTCTTGAGTTTTGAAGCACTTTATTATTTCTTTTTCTTTGTCCAAGCAGAACATGAATTTCAGGAATCCATTCTTTGCAATGGACAGAATGATGTCAAACATGAGAAACAATATGATGGAATTGCAAAGAAATTTTGTAAGTTGAAAAGTTTTTTTATCTTACATTTTCATCAATATTATTCATTAAAATAACAGGAAAAAAATAGACTTCATTGGACAAAGAGGTTAGCACTGAATTTTTGTCAGTCAATACTTTTTAGTTTCAACCTAAGTTGTTTGTTCTATAAAGAGCTATAGAGCTTATGTATATTTCCTGCTAGAATCATTTTTACAATGCAGTGTGGTACTTCTGTTCCTTCTTTTTTTCTTCCCTATCCTGTCCTTAGATGTATCTAATTGCTGCATAGAAAATGCACAGAAATTCATATGACTGAAATCTGTTAACTTAATGCATAAAAAATCCAGGACCCATTACTCATAAATTTCCATGATGTTCAGACCAGTTTTATTTGCAAAATTGTAGCCGTTGCAGCATCCCCACAGTCATGTGATCATGATTTCCAACACTCCCTGCCAGCTTCCCACAAGCAAAGTAGGTGGGGAAGCCGGCAGGAAGTTGAAAGTCACTCCTGTTCCCACTGCTTTTTTGCCCGCCCATGGTCATTCTGTTTATCTGTTTAGGTAAGTAAATATTGACTTATTATTGAAGTTCATTTGCCACTACAATTATTTTTCTGTTTATGATATATACTCCTCTAAGATGATCACAGGACTGTCCAGCATTGGAGTAAAAAAATATGGTCAACCTAAAATTTAATGTTCATTCTGGTCACATCAGACTGTGCTACCTTTCTCTCAAAGGATGACCCAATGGGCACAGGGATGTCTAGTTTATATTAACTATTGACCATTTGCCAGAAAGGAAGAAATTAGTTCTGAAAAACTTTCTTTCAAAATGTACTAGAGTAGAGTTTTACTCATTGTAGATGTCCAGCATGTGGCAGTTCCCAAATCAGCCCTTCTCTTCAATTAAATCTGTTCTCCGAGTGGATATGTTTGCATAATGGTTCAGCACATTTTACAGGCCTGGATATTAAGCCATGCTATAGAGATGGTTTCATTTCCTAAGTTTCATATTTCATTGTTTAAGTGGAGCGTTAATGAAGTCAAGTTCATCAAGTTCAGCTTGATTCCTGGTGACTGCATAGACACATCCATGTTTTTTCTTGGCAATTATAGAGAAATTGGTTACCATTTATTGTTATAGGATTTTTTCCCAGTGTAGTCTATAGCCTTGTGATAGAGGAGTGCAAATATCCATTCAATATTGGCTTCCATTCTGTACAGTACTCTTATTGTGGTTTTTACTAGTTTTAAATTATTTTGTTTAACTTCAGGATAAAATGGCGCTTGATCCAAATGCTCATTCATACAGTTCTTCTTCAGTGATGACCTATTCTAAGAAGGGTGATCAACCTCCAAAAGTTTTCCAAGCTTCTGCCCAGACACGGATTGCTCCAGGAGGGGTAGGATAGTATTTTGGGAATTCTCTCTTAAATGATAATAGTATTATTCTAATTTGGTACGTGCTTCTAACTCAGTGTATCACTATGTATCACTAAATATATAACTAAATGTATCACTATGCAATAGCACAACATATTTAAAAATTAGTGTAAATATTTGAAGTTAAAACTTGACTTTAAAGTGATTGCATAATGTTTAAAAAGTCCCTTCATTGACTTGCTCATAGGTGTTGCCATCTAATTTGGCTCTGAAATTTGAATTTGAACCCTAAAGCCAAGTTCATGAAAGATTATATGCCAGCAAGATAAACCTGTTGAAAATAACCCACAGCAAATCTCTTCAGAGCTCAGCTAGTACCTCTTTATCAAAAAGCTTCTAATAATATACTTATGAGCATGCTGATAAGTAGTAGCCAAGATTGTCAAGATAGTTAGTGTTCCTTTCATGTAGCGAATAGCAGAACACTCTTATCTCTGTAGCTGAAAGTTCCATTCACAGGCTATATTTAGATGAGGTTATGGTGGTTTTTGAACCATTCTCATGGAACAATGTTGAGACCTTAAAATGCTGACATTCGCTCCTAGCTTCTTTATATGTGAATCAACATGCATGCTATGGCCATAATTCAGAGACATGATCGTGCATGCAACTGAATTGTTTCCTTGTGTGTTTTTTGCTGCAGCAGCTGTTCCCTTCCACCCCCGCCTGCAAGTAGGAACTGCTGCAGCATAGTGAATGAAGTTCTGCATGTGTACTCATAGTTTAGGCTTCTGCACTTGGCATATTTTTTCTGTAAGAAATTTAGGATGCATATACTGTTTCCATGATTTGTAAAAGTTTACTTGAAATGAAAAATCCAAAAACCTAATCAGGACTTTTTCTTCTTATTACTTTTTTTTTTTTTTTTTTGCTTTAATTCAGATTAAAGAAACCAGGAAAGCTGTTAAAGATTCTGAAAGTGGGTTGGAAAAAATGTCCATTGGTCATCACATTCAGGATCGTGCTCATGTAATTCAGAAGGCAAAGAACAACAAAACTGGTGATGAAGAATTGAATCAAGAATTCATTAATTTAGATGAAGGTAAATAGCTATGTTGTTGGAGTCTATTTCCTCCTCCTCCTCCTCCTCTTGTATTTATATGATCACCTGTCAATGCTGTATAGATGGCTCCATGTGCATGCACTTGCATACATAGAAAAATGGAGTAGCATGTGCATTTTGTTGATAATTATGTGTTCTTTATTAGGCAGCGTGTAGATAGAGATAGAGATATATGCATACAGATATATACACGCCTACAAGTGAAGATCTTATAATTTAAAATTGCATTTGTTTGCCAGGAGAGGCTCATGCATTTGATGAACAATGGCAGAAAGAGATTCTGAAATTCAAGCCCTCTGGAGGAAGAAACAATGTAGATTCACCAAGACATAGAAGTATTCATCATGTAAGCAAGGAGGATGCTCCAAGGAGGTATACACTATAATCCTTTCTATATTGCCTTACATTATTTTAACAAAGGTGGTCAGAATTCTCTAAGATGTCATATGTGTAAAGATTCTTTTGTGTAACTGATATGCTTCTTTTTCAGGGAAACACTCTAAAGTTCTGTGAACCTTAAGCATCCTAACATAAATATATTGGCACTAATTTGTCTGTTGTCTAGCTTCAGTTAAAACCTACAAAAGAAGGACTATCAAAACAGAAAATCTGTGGGAAAACAGCATTGCCCTAATGCAGGGACAGGGAGCATGTCCTCCAAATGTTGGTAAATTACAGCCCTTGGTATCCTTTACTATCCAGTTGCTGAGATATTAGCAACATCTTGTATATCACAGATTCTCCTCTCTGTTATTGATGCAGTCCTGTTCCCCTGCATTTATTTTCCCCAGATCTGAATGATCTTCAATGGGTTACAAGTGACACACATTGAGTTGGGATATGAGGATATCATGCCACATGTGACCACTCCTTCCCCTGTCCCCACTCACCTATTCAGAGAAAGCTTAAATCTAAAGTGGAAAAACAATTGTTTGTTGTTCTTAAGACAAATGTGGGGAAGTGTGACGACCGCCTAACAGTATCTTTATAATTTTTGGATTATTTTGAGCAAATCACCCTTTCAATCTACTATAACTTGAAAAGGTGCTCTACACAATCCCTGCTGGATGAAAGTCTCTTTTTAAATGAAACTGATACTGAGGAGAAGAAATGCGTGCATGAAGCAATTGCAAACTTGGCATATAATAATCAAACCATTGCTTTCTAGAAACAATATTAGAAGGTTTCATCATAAGCAAGATGCTTTAATATCAATATTATTATGATAGTCATTTTTTCGTTATAAAACAGTGGACTCAGCAACACAGGACTTTGCAGTTAGGAGTGTTTTGTCATTCTGAAATTCTGGTACAATAATTATGAAGAGGTTCATATATGCTTGCATGCTCATAATTACTATTTAATTTGTGGAGTATGAACTGGGAAGGATTGGGAGGGAATGAATGTTGAGACTGGAAGATCAAATATGTGGAAATTTAAATACATTCTGTCACGATCCATCTGCTCTCTGGTTGGGATGTGCAGGGTTTCTTATCAAAATAAATTCAACAAAAACAATTTGTCTGGACATTGCACTTTAGTTCTGCAAGCTATAAAATCTTAAAAGCAAGAACTTAAATGTGAAAGGTTTATGTCTAGATACAACAATTGTTTATTTAATGGATGGTCAAAGATGTTTTCCAGTATACTATGTGCCTATCTAATGTTACATTGTATGAAATAAACATAAAGTATTTCCTTTTTCTAATCCTCTTTTCAGGGAGAAGGTGCACCCAAGAACAGCAGTAGAAGGACCTAGGAGGCCCACATCTTCTATTGAAAAGCTAAATGTCAAGGGATCACATGTTCCTCTCAAAAACAGCAAAAAATAAATTGTGTTGCTTTTCATGTTAATCTGGATGTTTTGGGAGAGGACACAATAATTCTGGATCAACAAATAAGACCAAGCTCTCTGTTTCTAGCATTAGTGACTCTCTTTTCTTTGACTACTGAATGTTTGTGTCAGTTTCAGCTCCTTGGTAACACTTGGCTCTGAGCAGTAAATGAAAAACACTGATACTGAAAAATACTTTATGGCTTTTTTTTAATTAAAAATAAGTGGAATGTTATAGCCATTTTCATTAACACCACCTCTAACTAGTATGGAGACAAAGTTAGCATTACAAAGATAGTACCACGTTTCAAGAACTTTAAATAATGTACTGTTTGTAACTCAAAAAGCAATAGTGGTGTGTCTTTGGCAAAGTGCCAATCTTTCAAAGTCTAGATTACAAAGGCATTAGCCATGGCATAAAGAACCATTAATGCTTTTCAATTTTCGTATTATTTCTGAAGTCTACTCAGAATGAGTTTTCCCCATAAATTACATGAACAGAATCAGTAACTTAGTTACATTTTCTGTGGATAAAAACAATAAAGACATGAGTCTGAACGGAAGCATTTAACTAAGGGGGCTTCCACCACCTTTGAACAATATTTAACCCAATCCATTTTGGTCTATTCAGATTTGTAAAAAAATATTTTTATTCTGCTTTGATTGAAACTTTTATTCTAAATTATTTTAATTCTACATTCTAATCATAAGGAAATTATTTTAATATAAAAAGTAATTTTTACAAACAGCGATTTATATTTGGAAAATATTTGTCTTAGGATTGGGTCATATCAACAGCAACTTAAAGTTCATAGGACAAATAGGAATTCAGCAGAGAAAGTGGTAACCAAAGCCCATTTCAGTTTCCATATTCTGTACTGGAGCAAAAAGGTACACAGCTGACATCAGGTGATGGAGAATTTCTGAATTACTTATCAATGCATCTTAAGACTGTTTTTAGTGCCACTCTCCTTCTTTCTCTTGAAGATATTTTCCTCTTGTTCACATTTTTGTTTGTTTACTAATTAGTTCATTTTCATGATGCTGAAGGGGTAAGCTAGAGATACAAGTGGCTGAGCTCATGCAAGTTTAGAATTTTGCAGTAGGGAATACAAAAATAGAGATCTGCTGAATGTAGTTATCAATGTAAAGATTCACAGAGCTCCCATTTTAAGCAATTCAAATTGATAAAGCATTTTTTAATGTAAAGTCATATTAAAACTAGTTGGGTAATTATACCAGGCTACATGAATATTTGGATTCACTGATTATCAAGGCTTGTCAATTTAGATATTGCTTCTCTGTAGGATAACTGGGAAACATTACAATTTTGATATCTGAGCTTCTATGTGTTAAAAGTTCTAATATTATAATATCTTATTAAACATTTACTAAGTAAAGTATCTGTACCTCTGCTCTTTCAAGGTATGTAGCTTAGATATATAGATATAGATATATATATGTATGCCATTCTTCATACTGAATATACACTATGCTATATTAGATTGGCAATGTTAACTTTAATCAAATCCTCAAATTTCATAAGAGCGTTCTTGAGTAACAGTTGTCACTTTTTTTGATAATAAAGAACTATTCAACAAAATGTGTGTGTGTGTTTTGCAGAGGAATGTTACAATGCAGTACTGGGATTATACTCTATAACCTACCTTCTCCCCTAAACTAGCATTTATAAGATAGTTAACCATCTCCAATCTCAAAGGTCTCTGGCCAGGGCACTAAATATAAAACAGAATAAGAAAATGCTATAAATATATCAATAAATTAGTTAAGATTCTTTAGCCTCTCAGTTTCAATAGCTATTGCCAAGAAACATAAGTCTCTTCTGTGGTTGTGCAATATTCAATATTACAGCACAAATCCTTTGGTTTATGCACTTCTGCCATTAAGATTATGGATGTCCAAGCCAAGAATTACAAGAGATGTACATACTGAAATTGCCACCTATTTCATACTTCCCTGCTGTTATGGAACTCAACAAGGCTTAGGCATATTTGTAAAACAACAGGTGTTCTACACTTGTTCCATTTCTGTGGTTCTGTGTCTCAGTAAAAAAAGTAGCAATTCATCTCAAAGTTATTTTAACTATTTTCTTTTAAGCAATTAGCTGAATAGGTATGATACAAATATTAGGAGCACTTACCAAGTATTTATACAGTTGTTTGGGAGGGAAAATCATTGAATACTGTCTGACTGGAGAAATACTTTAATGTATGGCGGGGAGTGAACTGTTGGCAAAAGTTTTAGTTACATTTCTGGGTCTTCAGCAGCAGTTGGGCATGAAAGATGCTCAAAAGCTCTATCTGTTGTGTGTGTGCTGGTGGCATTCCACATTCTCAATTTAGAAGTTCCAAACATAGAGTCGTGTGGCTGATTCTCTGCCTGAAAAAAAATATTTGGCTCATGTTGCCTAGCTACACTGATGTCCCGAGTAATAAATAATTTAAATATGGACAAAATCAAAGTGTAACACCTTCTTCCTTTGAACGTTAACAGATACATCATGGTTCCACATCTATGTGGCTCTAAATCACATTGGATCTTTGTCCTTATTCTAAAGAAGAAAACACCTTGGAATGAGATGAGAACTCTTCCCAGTGTGATATGTTCTCACTGATGAGAAGCCCTTGCAACATTTCATTAAAACTTAATGTGACCTTTCAGTCAACCATTAAGCATGGATTGATGAATTAACCTAGTTTTCTGAATCTACAACCCAATCATAATCTGGGTTCAGTTCACACAAGGTGCTACAGTAAAATGTGGCTGGCTAATTTGTGGTGTAGGATTAGTTGAACCTGGATGACCTTGGGCTAATCACCCACTTTTCCATTACGTGGTTGTATAGATAAATACTGTGCAACGGGGTCCTTGGAGTTGTAGTGGTGATCAGATATAAAGGTAAAAGTAACAGCTGACTCAAATCAAATCCAGTTCCTGTGAGTTCATGGATGCAACCTAGTAGTTTTACTGCAGTGGTGTGAAGTGATTTCCCGTTACTTTCTTCCAAGACTTATTTGTTTACTTGTTGATATACCTATGTGGCACCCATCTTAAACATCTGGTTTTCCAAACTGGTCTTTAGCCCTGAGATTTCTTGGAGGTGTCCCAATCACGGACTAATCAGGTCTGACCCTGCTCAGCTTGTTTTTAGATCAACCAAAATCACTAGGGCATAAATAACATTAATTGACTGGTTACAACCTATTGCATCTCACGAATTCGAGTCTACTTATGGCTCTACTCCAGAAAGGGCGGTCTGCAAGGAAGCCTCCAAGCCTGGATACTGAACAAAGATTCGGGGCTAAAGCAACAAAACCAGCCCCCAGCCCTGTTTCCGAAGCGCACGCAAGAACACAAACGGGCTCTCTTCCTCGCAACCCGAGGTCGTGGGTATCAGGACGGATCAGCTCCTTCGAAGCGCTTCTTTCCTCCCAGGTGTTGGGGGCGCTGTAGAAGCGGGCTTCCTGGGACGGGGGAACGGCCGAGGTGGTTCTATGATCCGCTTCCATGCTCCGGAAGCATTAACCGGCTCAGGCCGGAAGTGAAGTTCCAAGAGTCGTGTCCGGCGTGACTTTTGGGAAGGGAGGCGCTGGCGTTTTCGCGATGTTGAGGTGTCGACGGCTCTTGGGTCTGGTGTTGCCCCGGCAACAGGTACCGAGCGGGGAGTTTAAGTGGGACCAGAGCAGCCTTAGGCATGCTGGGGGTGGAGTGGGAAGAGGAGAGGGTCCCTAAACTTCTGCGCCTGGGCTGGGGGGGGAACTTGAGTTGTCATTAAAAGCAGAATCTCTTTCCTTCGGGAGCTACTGGATACGTAAAAATCCAACAGCTGAAAACTTACAGTAATGTTCAGCCTGCTGTACGCCTCTTGAAATGGCATGAGTTACTTTAGGCAACGTGGGTCAGATATTGATTTAATATTAAAGAAAGCTGCTTCACCTGTATGGGGAGCAAGGATTATATTGTGTGAGTGACTTGCTTTCGAAGCTTCCTGCGAGTTGATTTGGGAGATCTTAATTTCTAGCAGACTTCTGATGATCTTAAAGAAGCTAAGCTAAATTGTTTCTTTCAGAATGGATGGTTATCAGTTCTGAATAGAAATGTACATTTTATATTTAATTATCCCAAACCTTATGAAGTCCAGCCAACAGTTGTGCGACTTCAGAATGCTAAAAACTCATGGTGGTATCCTGTTAGGATAAGCTTTGGAAACATAACTGAACAAACTGTAACTAAGTTCTATCGAAACTGAGCAAACTCAGGGAGGCAGTGAAGAACAGGAAGGCCTGGCGCAATATGGTTCATGGGGTCAC